ATGGTGAGATTCATACACGGGAGCCTTTTTAAAGCCTTTATACCCGGGGGAGACACGGGAGATTCATGTGATTGGTTGTTGGTCGCGTTGCTCGCGTAAACTCCCCAAGCTCAAGACACGCCCACCGCCAAGCGGCAACGCACGCCGCAGTGTGTAGGCTGCGTTGCGGCCCCTACACACTGCGGCGTGCGTTGACGCTTCAACGCTTCTGCCCATTCACTTTGAATGGGGTGACGTCACGATTCGCCGAACTGCATTCTGGGAGCAAAGCGTAGCTTTTCTCGCGGTGCTCGCTGCAAAAGTAGAGCAATGTTCTACTTTTGAAGCTGAGGCGGAGGCGTCAGCCAATCAAATCCCGCGTATGCAAATCTGCCAGTACAAGCGCTAGCCAATCAAACCGCGTGTATGCTGAGAGAGCCAGACCGCAGTTCATTTCCTCATATGCCAAAAAATAATCGTAGCGGTAGGGAATCACCCGGTGCTTTCAGTCCCTGTTCACCTACCGGGATACAAACCGGAGGAGCCAGGCATGGAGGGAGGTGGCAGAGACAGTGGGTGAAACTGGTAGGTTTTCGCCTGTTAGGGGAGTTTATATCCAGTGTACTTCGTTTGAATGGACAGCAGGCATAGACAGTATATTTAGCCACCATGCAATGTTGCATAAAATAGCACCATAGACATTAATTAAAAATCGCTTTTTAGACATTAATGTCTATGGTGAGATTCATACACGGGAGCCTTTTTAAAGCCTTTTTACCCCGCTGCAAACAGAACGCCCCCCCCCTTCCCATCACAAACTTTACACAGACCCCCCCTTCCAATTATCAACTCCTGTCTTGTTTCCTGCAGCAGCTAAAAGTTTTGCAAGCCCCCGTTCGTTTAGTACCTAAAATAATAGACATCGCTTTTTCCAGCTGACAACCCCGACTTTCTGGTCACTTCTTCAATTTTCCAGCCCTTGGTGAGAGACACGGGAGATTAATGTGATTGGTTGTTGGTCGCGTTGCTCGCGTAAACTCCCCAAGCTCAAGACACGCCCACCGCCAAGCGGCAACGCACGCCGCCGTGTGTAGGCTGCGTGACACACATGTAGGTAGGTGTGAAGAGTCAGGAGAATACCATTGGTGCATTGAAAAGCTTAGCATTCAACAAGTGATTGCCACTCGATATTTTCTCCTCGGTGCACTTAGGCGGCTTTCTTTACAGGAGTATGTGCTGAAATCCATTTAGTAAACTTCTGCTATTCTGTGAGAGACCTTCATGATTTCACTGGCATGTGGGAGTAAACACAGGTGATGGATTGCACTTGATTTTCCTTGAATTCAAACAAAAAGATTTAATGAATATATAAATAACTTTAACAGAAGCATCTATGCTTTTTCTTTCATTTCAAACATTGTAATTTATATTCATTAAAGATTGACTTCAGGACAAATTAACATTCATAGATTTTGTGAGATGAATTCAATAACCCTATCGCCTCTAGGGACATGTATTTTTCATAACGTGAAATGTGCAGAGAATCTGGTTTACATATTCTCCAGAGTTTACCTTTCACACATGAAGCGCACGACAACAAATCTGTTGATGTTCAGGTGTATATCAGTATGTAGTGTCTCTACTTTAAAGAGTCCTCTCCTGCTGATGTTCAGGTGTATATCAGTATGTAGTGTCTCTACTTTAAAGAGTCCTCTCCTGCTGATGTTCAGGTGTATATCAGTATGTAGTGTCTCTACTTTAAAGAGTCCTCTCCTGCTGATGTTCAGGTGTATATCAGTATGTAGTGTCTCTACTTTAAAGAGTCCTCTCCTGCTGATGTTCAGGTGTATATCAGTATGTAGTGTCTCTACTTTAAAGAGTCCTCTCCTGCTGATGTTCAGGTGTATATCAGTGTGTAGTGTCTCTACTTTAAAGAGTCCTCTCCTGCTGATGTTCAGGTGTATATCAGTATGTAGTGTCCTCTACTTTAAAGAGTCCTCTCCTGCTGATGTTCAGGAGTATATCAGTATGTAGTGTCTCTACTTTAAAGAGTCCTCTCCTGCTGATGTTCAGGTGTATATCAGTATGTAGTGTCTCTACTTTAAAGAGTCCTCTCCTGCTGATGTTCAGGTGTATATCAGTATGTAGTGTCTCTACTTTAAAGAGTCCTCTCCTGCTGATGTTCAGGTGTATATCAGTATGTAGTGTCTCTACTTTAAAGAGTCCTCTCCTGCTGATGTTCAGGTGTATATCAGTATGTAGTGTCTCTACTTTAAAGAGTCCTCTCCTGCTGATGTTCAGGAGTATATCAGTATGTAGTGTCTCTACTTTAAAGAGTCCTCTCCTGCTGATGTTCAGGTGTATATCAGTATGTAGTGTCTCTACTTTAAAGAGTCCTCTCCTGCTGATGTTCAGGTGTATATCAGTATGTAGTGTCTCTACTTTAAAGAGTCCTCTCCTGCTGATTGTTCAGGTGTATATCAGTATGTAGTATCTCTACTTTAAAGAGTCCTCTCCTGCTGATGTTCAGGTGTATATCAGTATGGAGTGTCTCTACTTTAAAGAGTCCTCTCCTGCTGATGTTCAGGTGTATATCAGTATGTAGTGTCTCTACTTTAAAGAGTCCTCTCCTGCTGATGTGCAGGTGTATATCAGTATGTAGCGTCTCTACTTTAAAGAGTCCTCTCCTGCTGATGTTCAGGTGTATATCAGTATGTAGTGTCTCTACTTTAAAGAGTCCTCTCCTGCTGATGTTCAGGTGTATATCAGTATGTAGTGTCTCTACTTTAAAGAGTCCTCTCCTGCTGATGTTTAGGTGTATATCAGTATGTGGTGTCTCTACTGTGACATGTCTCCATGCTTTTATGTTCAAAAAGCTCTTTATTTGAGCCTCTGCAGACCATTTACATGCATTCAAACGTATAACACACTAAAGGAGAGGCGTAATAGGGCCTCTTTAAATTAAAAGGCAAATATAATATCAGAACAGAACAGAGAGAAATTACTCCTAATATCAATATATGCATTGTCTAATGTAATGCACATGTATTTATAGAAAGGGAATTGGCTCCAAAATGAGTTCCCATGTTTAAGCGAGGTTTGGCGTCTGAGTGAAAACATTATTCATTTATTCTCGTTGCCCTTGGTTTTCGACAGACAGGGTTGTACAATATCAGTCATTATGTTTAGATAATATATATAATGGGAGCAACTTAAAAGCATTTGCCGTCTACAGCCCTGAGCGAGGGGTAATATATGCATTAAAATCTGATACCGAGCCCACACACATTGTGCATTACATGAATGCACAGCGTGTCAACAACATATTGGTCTTTACCTTTGAGCTTTGTTCGCCTTTCATTTCAACAGTTATTTACAAAACATGTCTCTATAAACACACCGTACCCGAAAAGGAGCTGGGAGAAGAAAATAATCTTTTATGACCTGCCCCGTTCTAGAAAAAACCTGTCTCATATGTTCTTACTCACAGCCAATCATAACAGTATCGTAGGAAAATAAGAGAAACACAAAAACGTACAAAATAAATAATTAGTTTCCACTTGTTGTTTCTCATGTTTTTGTTCGCTGCACCCTACACCAAAGACAATTCCTCGTATGTGTAAATGTACCTGGCAATAAACTTGATTCTGATGTTGTAAAACACCTAGGAGGGACATCTATTCCGACAAGTCCAATTGCTGCATGTCCAACCCCCCCAGAATAAAGGAGTGCTCTCTTTTCTTCTGCCTGTAGAATTTAATTCACCCTGAAAGCAAAGGTACTTTCTATGCCCAATTCCAAACCAATACTTAGGATCATATACCCGTGTCTTGTCTAGAAAACGGTAGCATCTGAAGCATCTACTCAAGATAGTAACTTCCACCTTTAACGTAGCTGCTGCTCTGTCCCTTATGATAATTACTGCCAGATGGGGGAGACAAAAGTTCCTCACTTTGACTTCGAACTGTCGTTTATAATTTGTTGTGAAAATCCTGAATGTCCTCTTCCAATCTGAGAGTACATAATAACAAAGGTATCCCAACTGTAGCTGTGAACATGACAGGATGTATGATTACCTAGAAGAGCATCAGGACTGTTTGAGGCATATGATAGCTATGTGATTAACATGATGATTCAGCCTCTATGGAGATAGACATATGACAAGCATGCTCATTTCTGACGTGGAGCTAATCTGAAGTAAACATTGAATACTGCTTTCTATTCCTCCATCTTGTGACTGTGTATCTCCCTCTCTTGGATATCAGCATGTGAAGGACACTGTTCAGGAACTAGTTGATGCTCTGTGTGTGATGACTACTTCCATTCTGGAGAGGATCACAAATACATGGATCCTGAGATTGAAGCTCAAGCCGGGGACGAGCGATTATTAACATTTTAAGTATTCAGAAAAAGACAGAATGTTGACATTTTGAGAAAAAAGTCCGAATTTTGAGATTTTTAGAAAAGGTCGGAATATTTAGAGAAAAGTCAGGATTTTTAGAAAAGATACAGAATTTTGAGAAAATTCAAACATTTTGAAAAAAGTCAGAATTTGATTTTGCGAAAAAGTCAGAATTTTGAAAGAAAGTCAGAATTTTGAGAAAAAAAGTCAGAATTTTGAGATTTTGAGAAAAAGTCAGAATTTTGAAAGAAAGTCAGAATTTTGAGAGAAAGTCAGAATTTTGAGAGAAAGTCAGAATTTTGAGAAAAAAAGTCAGGATTGTGAGAAAAAAGTCAGGATTTTGAGAAAAAGTCAGAATTTTGAGAGAAAACGAAAAGAAAGATGTATGATTACCTAGAAGAACCGGTATTCCTCCATCTCGTGACTGTGTAACTCCCTCTCTTGTATATAAGTGATGACTACTTGATGACTACTTCCTTTCTTGCAAGGATAATAAATACATGGATCCTGATATTGAAGCTCAAGCCGGTGACGAGTGATATTTTCCTGACAGAAACACAGACCCCTTCTCCTCTAATGTCCTCCTTCTCTCCTCCTTCTCTCCTCCTTCTCTCCTCAGGTTGAAGGAGCAGCGTACGTGGGATCGTTTGCCTGGAAGTCTCAGAGCATCGGGATGTGGGATCGCCCTCGAGGAGAGAACATGCTGGACAGCGGGGCGCCTTTCTACGACACCTACCAGACCTCAGATGGAAAATACGTGGCCGTGGGCGCCATCGAACCGCAGTTTTACACTCAACTGCTGAAGGGTTCGTACTGGGCAGAACCGACAGAAACGGTTATATAATGCTGCTCTTATGAAGCCTCTCCTCAGACCCCTTTATCGGAGAACACACGGTGGAAGTGCTGAACGAATTTGAATCTGAAGAAATAGAGCAGATGATGACACACGGGAGGGTGATGCAATCAAAGTTGGAGACCTTAATTTTGCCTCCACCATTAATAAATTTACAAACAAGGATTTTGTATTAAGTCTGAAGAATGCTGTTTGTAGGCCGGGGGAAAAACTTCATTCAGATATATTTACATATTTTTGCTTTATTAAAATATTGCGACTTCAGATACATGTTTAGTATTTATCTGAGACCTATAATATAATCAGGGGGGCACATACCTTTTTTGCCCTGGTTCTCAAAGGAGCACCTGGAGATGTTGCTTGGTGCGCATCCTTAAAATGAAATAAACCGGACCTTTTGAGGGGTTCTTGACTTTATGAACCGGGGGGGGAGGTGCGCTAGTGAGCACGCTCATGAACTGTTCGCCAGAGCCTCGCAGCAGGGTTACTGTGCGGAGCGCATAAAGCAGACCCTTCACGCGATAGCGAGGGGTAGAGCGAGGGATCTGTCTGACCTGTCTGAAAATGAGCTGATCAGATTTTGGCCACTTCATGATGTCATAACGATGTTTTGTCTTGTGTAACCATTAGCCAATCAGCAACCAAGGTAACCCCCCATCCCCCCTTATCACCTGGATCTCCTCCTAGAGCACCATTGAGTTCTTTGTAACCAAATCTCTCTCAGAGGGGCGTGGGGAGGGGCTCCTTATTGTCATCTAAAGTAACAGACAGAGAATCAGCACTTTGGAAACAGGGCTGAAACAGAGGGGATTATGGGTAATGCTGCAATGATCTGTTTGGTGTTTCAGCCAATCAGAGACAGGTTCTGGATATATCTGAGACCTGTAATATATTGAGGCAAAACAGTATAATAGGGGACCTTTAAAGTAGTACGTGCAAACTGATGCTTAACATTTAATTTCCTCTTCCTATAGGCTTGGACCTGGACCCTGGATCTCTTCCTCCTCAGATGAGCTTCACCGATTGGCCGGAGCTGAGGCGAATCTTCACCGAACGTTTTGCTTCTAAATCTCAGGAGGACTGGTCGCAGGTTTTTGACGGGACGGATGCGTGCGTCACACCTGTGCTTTCCTTCGAGCAGGTGAGCTCCCACCCTCACAACCAGGAGAGAAACTCCTTCCTCACGGACTCTAACGGGGAAGAGAGTCCTCGTCCGGCTCCGGTTCTCTCCAGAACTCCTGCAGAACCGAGCCTCTCCTCTGACCCCTTTATCGGAGAACACACGGTGGAAGTGCTTAACGAATTCGGGTTTAAATCTGAAGAAATAGAGCAGATGATGACACACGGGGTCGTGGAGGGGGATGCAATCAAAGCAAAGTTGTAGACACCTTTTTGGGTTTTTTTTAAAAGCACAATTTGTTGATCTGCAATAAAGCAAATTTAAATCAGAGGTGTACGAATTGTTGAAGCTGCTTTTGGAGAAAATAACTAATTGCGATTATTTTTACTGATATCGCCATTGCCATATGATTTACTTTATTAAAGGTAATTAATAAGTGTACCAGACAAGGATGTTGTATTAAGTCTGGAGAATGCTGTTTGTAAGCCTCGGCAGATGTGTAAAAAAAAAAGTATAGAAAATATATTTTTAATTATTATAAAATGGATAATAAATATACAAAAAAACATTTCAAATATTTTCAAAATAAAGTCATTATAAAACAGGTTATAATGAAAATACACAATACGTTTCTTTATTATTGTTCAAAACCCTCGGGGGACAAACTTAACTTTTGGGTATATTTGTTTTTTTCAATCATCAATTACATTTTTCGGAATAATAATAATAAATTGTATTTATAGCGCTTTTCTTGAACCTCAACGTTGAAGAAAAGCACTATAAATACAATTTATGTGAATCAAATGTCTACATTTCAAATATATCCAACCTTGCCGAACGCCTTTGACAGCAACGTGTGATTTATTACAATTAGTGTCATGCTATGAATGTAAATGTAACTCCTAAACTGTGAAACAATGTTGTAAAATAATCACAATAAAATGCAAGTTTTTCCTCATGGGTGAAATGTTGTTACTGTGAAGGATTATTTTTAAAGACACGACTGAAATGACTTTGTGACTGAACAATGAGATTAAGGGTTAATAGGATATAAAGCAGATTAGAGGTTTATTCCATTGTGCTTTTTACCATGAGCCTATTGGTTTTAAGCAGCATGGGGTCAGCATCAGGAATGTCTCACCTCAGGAAAAAATAACTCATTTGAAGGATTTCAAGCTTTTATCGTCATTATGCACAGTACAGTACCTACAGCAATGAACATCTTTAAAGGGCCCATGTCATGCTTTTCCGGTTATTACCCGTCCCCTTGTGTGTTATGAAGGTTTTTATGCATGTAAACGGTGTGCAGAGTCACAAACCCTCAAAGTACACCCTGTAGGGAGTAAAACTAACACAGAAAAGACCTCCCCAAAACGCCTCGTTGGAGATACGTCACTGTCCATTTGATTCTTCCATTTTGTTCCGGGTACGGCATGATCCGTGGAGCCGTTACGTTACGTCCGCGGAGCCGTTACGTTAAGCCCCCGCTGATTGGTCCAAATTGACCAATCCACAGACTTCCTCACACACACATCTGTGTGCAGGGAGCAGGCAGCTCAGCTGATTTCTCCTCCCTGGCTGCAGGCTGATAACAGACAGTTGGGATCGCGGCTAAATTCTCTCTGCAGACCCATTCTCTCTGCAGACCCATTCTCTCTGCAGACCCATTCTCTCTGCAGACCCATTCTCTCTGCAGACCATTCTCTCTGCAGACCCATTCTCTCTGCAGACCCATTCTCTCTGCAGACCCATTCTCTCTGCAGACCCATTCTTCTGCAGACCATTCTCTCCGCAGACCCATTCTCTCTGCAGACCCATTCTCTCCGCAGACCCATTCTCTCTGCAGACCCATTCTCTCTGCAGACCCATTCTCTCCGCAGACCCATCCTCTCTGCAGACCCATTCTCTCTGCAGACCCATTCTCTCTGCAGACCCATTCTCTCTGCAGACCCATTCTCTCTGCAGACCCATTCTCTCCGCAGACCCATCCTCTCTGCAGACCCATTCTCTCCGCAGACCCATCCTCTCTGCAGACCCATTCTCTCTGCAGACCCATTCTCACAGCGTTTATCAACCTTTTTCTTACTCAATATCAAGCCACACTTATTGTTTTTACTTCGGCTGTGACTTTGTGTGTGCTCAGGATGAGTTTGGCTGTGTTTCGCTATGTATCGCTAAACAAGGAAACAACACCTCCACGGAGCTCAGCGCGATTCACATAGCTGGAGCTATTGGAGCTACAACGAGCCGTTAAAGGCAGAGAGTGAAATTCAGTGAATACACGTAGTTTACAGAGATGCTGTATGAGAAACCAATGTGAGTTTGGAGAGATGCTGTATGAGAAACCAATGTGAGTTTGGAGAGATGCTGGATGAGAAACCAATGTGAGTTTGGAGAGATGCTGGATGAGAAACCAATGTGAGTTTGGAGAGATGCTGTATGAGAAACCAATGTGAGTTTGGAGAGATGCTGTATGAGAAACCAATGTGAGTTTGGAAAAATGCACAATATAAATCTATTCTAGTAGACCTCAACAATGGAATTATGATCAGTGGAAATGGCCATGACATGGGACCTTTAATGCTCCTCAAACAATGCAATTTATAATATAGTAAAACAAATAATAATAAAGTAATATTATTTATTTGATGTTAATAAAGAAGTGAAAGTACATTGTAGGAATAAGACAATATACATAGTAGAATAAATAATGTTTATTTTAATAATTAGAATAATAATACTTTTAATTTGTATGGAACATTGTAATAATAATAATTATTATATCAAATAAAAAAGAACACATAACAGAAATAAATATTGTTTATTGTAATATAATAATAATAATGTTATGTGGAATATTAATATAAAAAATAAAACAGGAAAGAATAAATACTATTTATTGTAATGTGAACTATTAATAATAATTTTATTTATATGCAGTATTATTTGTATAATTCTTTAATATATAAAAAGTGCAAGTTAATTGCAGGAATAAAACAAATATATATATATTTATTTATTAATAGAATACAAAGTATAATACATACTATTTTTAGAAATATTATTATTAATAATAAAATAATAATAATACATTTAGTTGATATTTATTATTATAATACAAACATGTTGAGTGTGTTAACCACAGGTTGGAAACATTTATACAAATAGAATCTTAAATAGCGGATTGTAAAATAAATACTGTTTACTGTAATAATATATACACATGTGGAAAAGCATGTCAAATGAACAGTGCACGTCTCTGAAATCGGCACAAAATGTCCAAATAAGGTTCGTTGTTTTTCAATCGATTGTGATGCTCCTGTTTGAATCACCAGGGAGCTGAAATGTGCACAAAAGGTTCAAAGGTCACTTCTCCGCTGCCTCTGGTGTTTTCCAGACACGACGATGGATTAGATTTCCTTGTCCGACAGATTGTCTGTATAATAAGGTGATTTCCAAAATGGCATTTTAAACACTCAGTAGCTGCAAGGACAATGTTCTCAGTGCCAAAGACATTCATTACTTTATACTGAAGACTTCTTCTGCAGTATTAGAGGACGGAGAGAAACCCCACGGAGACGCAGGTGCTATCTTTAGCTCTGAGATCCTGTGGTGTGCAGGAACATGTGCTAAACAGTCCTCAGGCGGCATGCTGGGTTTCCAAATCCCATGCAGCAGAGGAGCTTTTATATATGGTACGCACTTGCCACTCAAACAACCTGAATATGTAACCAGAGTTAACATGTGGTCATTGTTTGAAAGGCAAATGTAGACACCAATCACTTCGAAAGAAATGAACACTTTGAGAACAGTTGATCAGTTCACACGTGGTGGGTGTATTTCTGGGAACCCAAGTGGTGCAATGTGGACCATTTGGCACATTTAAAGAGGCCCTATTGCGCTTTGTATTGTGCGTCTTTGTGCATGTTAATGGTCTGCAGAGGCTGAAATCTCTCCCACACACATCCTGAAACACCTCCATTAAACTCCTTTGTTTACTTCTGGAACATAATGGCATCAGTAGAGACGCTACATACTGATATACACCTGAACATCAGCAGGAGAGGACTCTTTAAAGTAGAGACGGTACATACTGATATACACCTGAACATCAGCAGGAGAGGACTCTTTAAAGTAGAGACGGTACATACTGATATACACCTGAACATCAGCAGGAGAGGACTCTTTAAAGTAGAGACGGTACATACTGATATACACCTGAACATCAGCAGGAGAGGACTCTTTAAAGTACAGACACTACATACTGATATAACACCTGAACATCAGCAGAGAGGACTCTTTAAAGTAGAGACACTACATACTGATATACACCTGAACATCAGCAGGAGAGGACTCTTTAAAGTAGAGACACTACATACTGATATACACCTGAACATCAGCAGGAGAGGACTCTTTAAAGTAGAGACACTACATACTGATATACACCTGAACATCAGCAGGAGAGGACTCTTTAAAGTAGAGACACTACATACTGATATACACCTGAACATCAGCAGCAGAGGACTCTTTAAAGTAGAGACACTACATACTGATATACACCTGGACATCAGCAGGAGAGGACTCTTTAAAGTAGAGACACTACATACTGATATACACCTGGACATCAGCAGGAGAGGACTCTTTAAAGTAGAGATACTACATACTGATATACACCTGAACGTCAGCAGGAGAGGACTCTTTAAAGTAGAGACACTACATACTGATATACACCTGAACATCAGCAGGAGAGGACTCTTTAAAGTAGAGATACTACATACTGATATACACCTGAACGTCAGCAGGAGAGGACTCTTTAAAGTAGAGACGCTACATACTGATATACACCTGAACATCAGCAGGAGAGGACTCTTTAAAGTAGAGACACTACATACTGATATACACCTGAACGTCAGCAGGAGAGGACTCTTTAAAGTAGAGACACTACATACTGATATACACCTGAACATCAGCAGGAGAGGACTCTTTAAAGTAGAGACGCTACATACTGATATACACCTGAACATCAGCAGGAGAGGACTCTTTAAAGTAGAGACACTACATACTGATATACACCTGAACATCAGCAGGAGAGGACTCTTTAAAGTAGAGACACTACATACTGATATACACCTGAACATCAGCAGGAGAGGACTCTTTAAAGTAGAGACACTACATACTGATATACACCTGAACATCAGCAGGAGAGGACTCTTTAAAGTAGAGACTAACTATACCTGTATATATTTTCTAACTCGATTCTGCAGTCTGTTTCCATGCTGCATCACCAGAGGCAGAGCAGAGGAACAAACACGGATGTAATCAAAGCAGGTAAGGCTCAGACTAACAATTACTTCCATTAAACAGTAGATTTTTCTGATACATTTCTCAATTAACTGATTATTCGTTCAGCCGTTTGAGTCTCCCCTTATCAGAGGCCCACAGTTTTATTTACTTTGATTATTTCAAACACAAGCGGTTCATATTCATTTCAAAGCAAATATTTGGCTGTTGATTGGATAAAGAATGTGTATTTATTATGTGTATTCAGCCTCAAGGAGACACTGTCTTTGGTTATGAAACAGTCAATGTAAACATGGACTTTTAAAGGAAAACTGTGCAGATATTTTCAACGCTTTTTATCATCACTAAAGAGTGATGATAAAAAGTAAAAGAGTGTGTAAAGAGTGTGCGTTACTCTTTAGTGTCCCCTGGTCTCCCAGCTGTGTGCGTCACTCTTTAGTGTCCCCTGGTCTCCCAGCTGTGTGCGTTACTCTTTAGTGTCCCCTGGTCTCCCAGCTGTGTGCGTTACTCTTTAGTGTCCCCTGGTCTCCCAGCTGTGTGCGTCACTCTTTAGTGTCCCCTGGTCTCCCAGCTGTGTGCGTCACTCTTTAGTGTCCCCTGGTCTCCCAGCTGTGTGCGTTACTCTTTAGTGTCCCCTGGTCTCCCAGCTGTGTGCGTCACTCTTTA